CGACGCGCGAGCTGGCAGCAACCGCTCAGCCCCGGTCTGCGGCCGGGTGCGGGCGAGCAGGAGGCGGTGCCGATTACGTTGCCGCCGTTCAGGCGGTCGCGCGAGCGCACGGCGCAGTGCTCGGTCACGAGCGACGACGAACGCGCCAGTCGGTCGCTTGGTGGCAATGCTGCCTTCATTCGCGAGTCGGCGTTGGGCAGGTCGCTTAGTACCGCGCCTGCGCTGGGCGTGAGTGTGCCCGATGGAAGACCTGAAAGGCCGGTCATGTGGAAGCAGCTCAGCCACGTCGATCGACCCGCCAGTGGGCTGGGCGCGTACAGGCGTGCGAGCCACTCGCTCGAGCCTAGGCTCGCCAAGTCGGCGTACACGAGTCCGATAGGATCGTACACGGCTAGGGCGGCGGGCGGGAAGCAGCGTGCAACGTCGATGCATATGCGCGCACTGCCCGTTGTGGCCCAGACCCAGCGCGATGTCAGCGGCGCAGCCTCGCCCAGGACGGAGGATGCCCAGGCGACGTTGAAGCATCATCTTGCACCGGCGGGGGGAGATAGAGAGCATGGNTGTCAGCGGCGCAGCCTCGCCCAGGACGGAGGATGCCCAGGCGACGTTGAAGCATCATCTTGCACCGGCGGGGGGAGATAGAGAGCATGGTGAGGAGGCGCCAGGGAACGCGGCCAGGTACTGGACCGAAAGGCTCGCCAGTCTCGCTCATGCGATGGGCGATGAGCTGGCGAGTGTCGGACAGAGCGTGCTTGGGTACGAGGCGAGGGCGAATGCGAGCGCGCATGAGGAGTAGCATAGCAATGACAGTGGATTTCAATCCAGGTCGGTGTGGAAATGAACGAGGCACGAGCTAGAGCATCGCGTATGGGCTCGCGATCGTGTGGCGGCGGCAAGGATAGATACAGACGGGCGAGGAGAAAAAGTGGCGATATGATGCCAGTGATTTGAAACCAGAGCCGACCAAGCAGTCAGGCGTGAAAAGTTGGCAGTGCCAGCAGCCAGTCTGGTGGCAGTGAGCGACTTGAGCGACTTGCGGACTAGGCCGTGTGGTACGCTGCACACGCTCATCCTCTTGTGTGGGGGCTGGGCAAGCACATGTACGATTGCGCACATGTCAGCCGTGCTTGCAGCTTGCAGCTTGCAGCCAGATATGCCACATGCGTCCGAGCCGCTCAAGATCACCTTGCCGCCGCCTGAGCTTCTCTTTCACGCAACCTCGTAGCGTAAGGGCTGTGCATTGCGAGCAGACATGCCCAAACGCACCCGAGCCCCACAGCTTGAAATCTACCGACTTTACTCGATCCATTACACGGGATGCCAGACATACTTCAAGCACAATGTCGGTGGGATTACTAGGCTACCTGCACACGATGATGTCCGACGCGAATCGCCTGCACCACTTGTTCGTCGTGCGCCACGTGGATACCCAGCCTCTGGCGCATCACTGCAGCCTTGTCCTCGGGTGCCAGCTCAAAGCTCATCTCTTCCTGCGTCGCCTGCCTTGTGGTCCTCTTGAACACGTTGGCAAAGTGTCGCACATAGTCGCTCGCGACACTCTCCACCGATTCGTCCTTATCGCCCTGCTGCCCCGAGTTGTACCGCGCAAAAGGCCCAGTGGGGTCGAGTCGATCATGAACACACGTCATGCTTTTGCCCACAATACCGCACGCCACAATGTGTCGGAATCCGCGCATGGCGCGCTGCTCGACATTGAGCGCAAAGCCGTGACTCGAGACGCGGTGACGCACCTGGATGCCAATGCTCGCGATCTTGTGGTACTCGTCCGCCCACACGCCCGTGTGCGCATCCGGCGGATCGACAGTCCCAATCCCCCGCGTAGCCAACAGCGAGATCAGCGAGTCCTGCACACGGTCCACGTAACATCGGCTCGCCAACCCCATCGCACCGAGGTTCAGGATGGGATAGCCCACCAACTGACCCGGTCCGTGGTAGGTGATCTGCCCGCCGCGCTTGGTGAGCTTGTAATCCGCCCCGAGCGCGCGCAGGGCCTCGGCCACATCAAAGTTCTCGGACTCTTCCCGTCGCCCCTCGGTGTACACGGGTCGATGCTGCAGCAACAGCAACGTATCCTGTGCAGCCTGTGCGCGCAGTGCAGCTTCGGACGCAGAGGCCGAGACGAGTGTCAGCCCCGCGCGCACCGAGGCTGAAGTCGAACTGGCGTCATCCAGCGCGCGCAGCGCCTGACGCGCCTGTGCACGCTCCTGCACCAGGTGCTCCTGCAGCGCCAGGCCCAGATCGTACGGCACAAAACCCGGGATGTAGACGGTGCGCACGGGCTCCAGATGCGTATAGTCGCCCTTGGCCGACGCTGCCAGATCGCAGCTGGGCGCAGCCGTCTGGCGCGCTGCCGCAGACGTGCTCAATTCCCGGCTCCACGTGGCAGGCGCGGCGGTCAAGTGCTTGCGTTTGGGCGAGAGCCGTGGCGCGGCTGCAAAGAGCAGCGGCGCCTTGGCCGGACCGGCGATGCGCTGCTTGCGCGCGTCCTTGTGCCCCAGCAGCCCGGTTTGCGCTCCAGTGATGGCCTTGGCCACCACACTGCGCACGTCGTCTTTCCAGTGCTGCGTCTGCATCGCCGTCACGCGCGCCGCCCAGGCGGGCAGTTGCTCTTGGCTCTCGACCGCCTCGATCTCGGCCGCGCAGACGCGGTTGAGGATGCGCACCAGGTACTGCGTCTTCCTCAGCGGCGTTGCGGGCTGAGCGGAGGCGAGGAATGTGTCGGAATGGAGCACCTGGTCGCCAAGCGCTCTGCGGATAGTGTGCGCCTGCTCGCCGTTGCCCTCGCGCGCCATGCTCTGCAGCGTCGCCTCGAGGCTGTATACGCTGTCGGAGCGCGTCGCCTGGGCTGCTTCGCCGCGCAGCGCGTCGTGATGGCCGTGCGCGATGAGCGAAGTGAGCACGATGCTGTACGTCGTCTGCGAGACAGTGATCATCCAGCGCTCAAACAGGTTGAGCACGGCGACGGCGGCGGGATAGTCGCGTTCGGCCATGACGGTGATGAGGGCGTCGTTGAGCATGCCGCGGCTGCGGCACTCTGCGATGTGGTCGCGCGATGCGGGCGTCTCGCCCTCGCCGACGCGCACGAGCGAGCGGATGAGCGAGCGTGTCGAGGGCAGATTCGACAGATGCGAGCGCGCGCCTCCAGAGGAGGTGTTGCTGACGACAGCGCGACGCATGTGCAGAAGCGAGCGGAGCAGCGCGGGATCGGCTAGCGCCATGGTGTGGATGAGGTCGCCGAGCTCGTGGAGGAGCGAAGCGCCGCCGTCGACGTGGCCGAGCCTGGCGTCGCAGTCGAGCACAAAGGCAAGCACCGAGGATTCGATGGGCACGTGGTCTGCAGCCATGAGGCGCACGACGTCGTGGGTGGACGAGAGGACGCGACGGATGTGTCCGACCGAGCGCAGATTCCTGGCCGAGTTGCGCACGCCGGCCATGTAGGCGAGGTACGGCTCGGGCCGGATGGGCAGAGCCTTGGCAGCATCATCGCCTGTGGCTGCGGCGCTCAGCTGCTTGGTGGCATGTCTGTACCTGTCGAGCCACTTGCGCGCTTCGGCGAGGTGGCCAGCGTCGACCCTGGCGTTGATGAGCGACTGCCATACGACGATGTTGCTCCCCCATCCGGCCAGGTCGAGGGTGATGTCGGCTTGCAGCATGGCTGCATCCGGCTGCTGTGGCGCGGCGGCGCGCTGAGCTCGGGTCCACTGTCGCAGGAACTCTTCGCCCTCTTCGGGCACGCCTGCGCGCCCAAACACGCGAATGAAGGTTGAGAGTGCGCGGTGGCTGATGTAGCGCCAGAAGACACCGAGCCTGCGCGGAGACGTGATGGTGGCGGGGAAGAGGTGCTGAATGGCGGTGTGTGCAGCTTGGAGGAGCTGTTCGGGCGCGAGGGTGGTGGCAAAGGTGGCGAGCATGGCCGAGACCATCTTTGCGGTGGGTCTGTGCTTTTGCTCGATCGAGACGTCGTACACGGCGGACATTGCGTACATGCACTGCACGGGGATGGGGAGCGACTTGGCCGAGATGGAAGGGTCGAGGCGCGAGGGTCGCCATAGCTCTGCGTGCACTGCGGCTGCCTGCTGCTTGGGCGTTGGGCGTGCTGATGCGTGGCGGCGGCTCTGGATGCGCAGCGCGACGATGATCGCTTCGAGCTGGTCGTGCGTGAATGGTGGAAGGGAGGAGGCATTCATGTGCTCTGTGAATGCGGTCATGGCCGAGAGGATGCGATTGTTGCGGATGAGACGCAGGATGAGCATCGAGGTGTTGAGTGTCGGAGAGGCTGATGCGCGTGCCTTGCCCGTCTTGGCTTGGAGGGCGGTCGCGGGTGCGGCATCGATGTCCTGCGCGGTCCAACAAGGTGTGGTGCTGCCCGGATTGACATCGCGAGGCGAGAGCATGGATCGAAGAGAGCGGTGGACGATGTCCTGGAAGAGCTCGGGCGGGTAGGCAGCCGTGGGTGCTGGATGTTGCGGTTGTGTCGAGAGGCGCCGCGGCTGGGCCATGCGCACCACGTTGGAGCTGGAGGAGGCTCTAGCGCTGGGTGCAGTGCCTACGCCCGAGAAAGATAGGCGAGGGGCCCTCATGCTGACGTTGTCGACGATCCGTGGCGATGCTGGTGGTGGTCGGGAGAGCGGTTCGAGTCGGATGTGGAGCGCAACCACCACTTTGGCGGTCTTTTGGCGCCGGCTCAGCCTTTCTCACCAACGCCTTTCCCGGCCGGTAAGAAGAATCGCCTTTTCCAGACTCTAAAAATTTCCCGGCTGCATGGCGGCGATGGCCGAGTGCAGCAACAGCAAAGGCGCACTGGGCACTGGGCACTGGGCACTTGAGCTCAGGGGAAATTTTCATTTCTAACACGGATCGCCAAAATCGGCCAGTCTGTGCGTTTCTTCTTGGCTGTCAGGGTCTAATCGAGAGGGCATTCAACTGTTCCTCCCTTCCTCCATCTTCAACTCTCTTCCAATCCAACACTCACAGCAGTCATGGATTCCAACAGCCTCGCAAATCGCCTCGGACCACAGGCTGGTGGACAGGGCGCACCGGGTCGTGGTGGCGCTCGTGGCGGCCGAGGTGGCCGCGGACGCGGTGGCGCTCGTGGACGCGGCGGTCGCGGACGGGGACGAGGCGGCAGCGCTGCAACCCAGCAGAACGTCGACCAGGCCAACGCCGCCAGCACCAGCACCGTCGCCACGCCCGATGATACCCCCCTCCCCTCCGGTGCTGCTACACCCACCTGGACGCCCAAGTCCATCGCTCCGGGCACCGACGCGGCCGTCTACTTGACCGACAACAAGTTCGCCGACCTCAAGGGCCAGATCGACAACCGCCTCCTCTCGGCCATCCCCTTCCCCACCATGTCCGCCGTCCAGGCCGCCACCCTCTCCACCGCCCTTTCCGGCAGGGACGTGCTCGCCCAGGCAAAGACCGGCACCGGCAAGACGCTCGCCTTCCTCATCCCCTCGATCCACAAGCTGTGCGCGCTCCCCACCCCGCCACCCCAGTCGTCCATCTCGGTGCTCGTGCTCTCTCCCACGCGCGAGCTCGCCCTCCAGATCGAAAAGGAGGCGCACATGCTGCTCGCCAACCTGCAGGGCACCTTTGGCGTACAGCACGTCGTCGGCGGAACGAACATCGGCGCAGAGCGCAAGAGGCTCCAGCGCGACCGCAAGGATCTCCTCATCGCCACGCCAGGCCGTCTGCTCGACCACCTTTCCAGCGACGCGCCCGGCCTCGATCTGCGCAAGGCCTGCCAGAACCTCAAGGTGCTCGTGCTCGACGAGGCCGACCGCATGCTCGACATGG